AATGCTGAAGATTGGGAGCGAGTTCTGTTTACAGATGAGACAAGGTTTTGTCTTTACAGCAACGACCGACGAGTAAGGGTTATTCGACGACCAAATGAACGTTACTGGCAGTGTAATATTCGCCAAACCGAGTTATTGAATGGAGGGTCTGTGATGTTTTGGGGCGGAATCTCTTTAACTGCTCGTACTGACATCGTGTCTTTGCGTGGAGGACCTTTAAATAGTGCAAGGTACATCACGGAAATTTTGTCAGAGCATGTGGTCCCTTTCGCTGGGTATATTGGGGATAACTTTTTACTAATGCAAGATAACGCCAGACCACACACTGCGAGAATAGTGCGAGATTATTTGAATGAGGTGGATATTGAGACTCTGGACTGGCCTTCACGCAGTCCAGATCTCATTCCTATAGAACATTTATGGGATCAAATTGGTAGGCAGCTTAGAGATCATCAACCCCTACCTGTGTCTTTGAATGATGTAGAAAACTTTGTTCGAGAAATTTGGATTAATATCGATCAAGAACAAATAAGACGTCTGGTTCAAAGTATGGGTCGTCGATGTCAAGCGGTAATAGAGAGTAGGGGAAGAAACACCCGATATTGAATGTTTTTTTTTTCCACATTATTTTTTCAATAATTTTATTTTTGTTTTGTTAACTTCCGAAACTTTTTCTTGAATAATCTCAAATAAACGCTTTTAACTTCAAACTCCATATTTCATTAAATAACAGAGCTAGAAACGTGAATAAAAAAACAAAATGCTCAGAAAAGATGGGGCTATGTTTTGATTTAGATAGACATCTATTGGTGCAGATGAAAAGTCCCACAGGATGTGACAAAAATTAGGCATCAAACTGGTTTCTTTTAAAACACCCTGTATATGCCTAAAACTTCGATTCAAATGAAAAGTTGTTTTACAGAGTCATTCCTGAAGATTTAAGCTACAATTAAAAAAAAAATATGTCTAAATCGATTCAGCAGTTTCCGAGAAAATTAAATTTGAAATTGTGCCAAATTTTAGTGGTGCGTTAATTTTGATGCGAAGTGTATATATTTAATTCCAGGAAAAGGTAGTTTTAAAAATGTTAAATTCGAGCACTTAAACTGAAAGCAAACTGGACTGGTTCCAAAAAAAAAAAAATACATGAGATGGGACCAAAACAATAGATCTGTTTCTGCAGAAATCATTTCATTCATTCTAAAATCAAAATTAATGATTTTTTTTTACATACTTAAACTTATGAACGAGTACCTCGACAAGTACCCCTCAACCTGGACAGTACTCTAGAAGCGCTGGTGCTTGCAACAACAGGAACAGTAGGGGCTTTAAAAATGTTAGCATCAGTTTTTGAGAATCTATAGTCTCCACTGCTTAAATGGCCTGCACAAACATATGTCCATTTGCTTACTGAGCTGGATTTTAAATTTAATGCTCCTAACCATGTTTTTTTCATATCATAAATTATCCGGAATACTAAAAAATAGTGTTAAATAGAAATACAAAATTAAAATTTGTATGTACCATATTGTATTTTTGTGGCCTACATGCACCTCCGACACTGTTTTTTTTCCCCTTCAATCATGTCGATGTCATAATTTTTGTTTACTAAGGGGTGAAATGATAAACAATCCGCTGGTTTTTCTGTTTTCTGACACACTTATTAGTCATTTCACAGCCTCCTATACTTAACAAGCCATGAAGTTGGAAATGACGGCAACGTCGCGTATGGTGCTATTTTGTTATTGGGTTATGTGTTTCTGTGTATTGCGTTCATTGTGTATTGTTGAAATTTAGTATTTTTATGGGCATTATTGACGAAAAAGTGGATAGAAACACACCAATATATTGCCCATATTTAGTTGATACCTGTTCCTTTGTGCTTTGATTGCAAATTTTTAGCAAATGGGTACAGGAGCAAAAATGAAGGTAAGGTAAGGTAAAACAATAAAAACAATATTAATATTTGTCTGCAAGAGCATAGGTCTCGATATATTACCTAAGATATTTAAACTTGTTCCAGATGCCATGAAACTACTGTGTTCCTGGGTGCAAATCAAACTATTAGGAGTTCCTTGAAAACTGAAGAAATGCAAACATTTGTATTTCAAAAAAAATTCAGAATTGCAAAAAATGTAAATGAAAGCAATACACCAAGATAATTATACCCGAGATTATACAATAACGGAAAATTCTGTGGTGTGTTGTAAACATTTTGAAGAAACCGAAATAATTAGATTTGAAACAAACAAGGGTAAAGGCGTAGTTCGAGAGTTCAAACTAAAACGTCCAACTCTTAAAAGTAGGTACCTCTTATTTTCGAAAATCAGCTCAAGTATTTGAATGGACTTGCCTTCCGAAAAAATCCCGAAGAAAGAAAAAGTTAGATTTTCAAAAGACATACTGAAACATAGGCCTATAACACTTTAGACTCTAGAAATATATTCATTTAAATCAATTATTTACTGTTCTTATTTACACAAATAGTTAAATTATTCATTGAATTACTGTTTTTGGCCCTTTAGTACAATAAATTATGCATTTTTTGTGATTCATATTATTAAAATAAAAAATATATATTTATACAAACAAACACCACCAGCACCACTTGGCGGTAAGATTGCGGTGTTGCCTTTTTAACTTCATGGCTTGTTAAATGTAGGAGGCTGTGGTCATTTTCAATCCTGAATAAGAAACTTTCACGAAATGTATAAACATGTAAATGATAAATTTTTAAACAATTCCACTTTAAAGCAGTGAAACACCCAAAAAAGTCGATAAAATAAACACACAATAATGGACGTGTTCGTTTTTGTCATCTTTGATTTGTAAATTGAAACTGTCTGATCCAGTCACGTGCCTGTCAAAATTTCGGAGCAAATCGATGAAAAAGATGACAAGAACGAACACGGCCAATATATATTGACATTTACGCAGGTACGGCAATCGGTTGCTATTGGGAACCTCCTAAACAATATACTCTGTTCAGCTAGACTTGCATAATGTTCTTTTCGTTTACATATTGCCTTAGAGAGAGATGTCTAAAGATCCAAAATGTAAACGGATTTTTGGAAATCGTACTATAGAAAACCAGCGTAAACAAAATAAGAGAGACAAAATCAAAATATTTGGAGAGAGATCTTTGTACCATATTTGGAAGTTGATTACTCATCTTTTAGTGTTAACTATATATATAATCTAAGGAATGAACCCTTTTTGGTCGTGGCATCAAAAATTCGAATTACCCATTATTTTTGTTGTACCAGACTCCCTTTGTGGTAGGTATTTCCTTCTAGTTATCACACTTTCGTCAATTAACTTTTTATTTTTTACTGGAAAAGAAAAATACCCGGATTCTGGAGCAGTTTTTAACTTAGAATGTCTCTAAAAAAGCGATATATTTGGACAACAGTCGTTTTCCTGGTACCCAAAATATTGGCGGCACAATCGGTACATTGTAAAAGAACTAGTACCGAGATAGATAGATCAATTTTTATATATTTACCTATTTATTTTTTTTTTTGAAATCGCCTCTCAACCTTTGACACAGATCAATGAATAATATCTATCCTTATCAGCTTAATATCTCTATAGCAGTTCAAGAAAATAACCCAAAAAAAAATTCCCTCAATACAATACAATATTCTGTGCTCAAATTTGCACTTAATAGGTAATAAATTGGGTAATAATTATTGAGCAAATAAAAAAATCTGACAACAATGCTGCTTTTTAATTTATTTTGATAATTACACTGAAAAAAGTCCGTTTTTTCTAAAAATTGGCTGAATATTCCACATTTTTTTCTTTTCTAAAATACTATATTAAGAGCCCTCTATTTGATAAAATTAAAAAATTGGTAAAGATCGTGTGTCCGCAAAGCGTACTAGAACCGGTAACTTTTAATACCTTTTAGGTAGTCCAGCAGAATTTGAGGACACAAACAATGCGGATTGGGCCCCCAGTACAAATTTAGGATATGATATACCACAATAATTAAGTATTGAGAAAAGCCCAGAATGAACAAGCCAGTAAGCTACATGCCAGATCTGTGCACCGATCAGAACAGTCAAAACGTTTGAGGAGTTATTCTACCACAAATTTATTATGCTAAAATTTATTTGTAAGGTTGTTAGTATCAAACTTTTTTATTTTTTAAAGAGATTCTTAAGCAATATTTTTTTGTTAATAAATTGTTTGTTTACTATTGTCGAATTGAAATGTAAATTGGCATGTCTGTAAATAAAGATTCATTCATTCATTCTATTCATTCACAAAAACTAAAAACAACTTAAAATTTATTGAACAAATCAAAAAACGCAAAAATTCCGAAGCACAAACTCAAAAAACACTGTAAACAATATGATCTATAGCTCTATAGGCTTTGGTTGCCCCTCAGCTAATATGACGGACCTTGTCAAAGTCACGTGACGTGGAATGCCTTGGGCACTTTCCAAAATTCACCGGTTTCTGAACCGGTTTAATAGTTTACTCACCAAACTGTTCCAAAATGTACCGACTTTTTACCGGTTGAACCCCCGATCGTTCGTTCCAAAATTGACCGGAATGATCAGCTGTTTGAAACCGGTGAGGCACCGAATCCACCGGGAATTTTTGTCGGTTATTTTGGTTGGATGTTTTTTTGACACTTTTTTTTGACGTACATTAATTTAATTGCTTTGAATGGGTACTATTGGCAGTCTATCGTTAAATTGCTGCTTGCAGATTGCAGAATAAAAAAATGTTTGTGCGTGGGCGTCATTATGAACTCGACAAATCAAATACTCAGCTCACATAATCTACAAAAATCGTACTGAAAACTAATGTTTGTTGACTGTTAAAAATAATAAAAATACATACCAACCTCACTGCATCCCACAAAAAAAACCCATTCCAAAAAATAATAAGCAACACCACCAAACTTTAACACCAAAGCGTTCCAAAATAATCCAAAATGCACCAGAAAAATCTTGTAACCGGACTTGCATCTGACTTTTACCGGAATTTTTTGACAGCTACCGGTTTATTTTACCAGTCAATTTATCGGTGAAATTTGGAAAGTGCCCCTTAAGTTCGAGCTTTCACCTCAAAAATGGTTATCCAATTTTTCAATGAATTATCCTTTGCTCATCCTGAACACCGTCGTACATGTTTTAACTTCTATGGGCTCCTTTATTCAATTCTTTAATTTTTAAACATCACTCTCTCACTGCTAGGCAACCAGTAATACACTCATTCACACCTGAGATCTGTCACATTATTGACAGACGCTGGGAAGTGTTTTTCAGTATTTTTATGGGGTACATCTACATCTCAGATTTCAATTTCAATTCCTATCCTCCTCTATTTTTAGTTAAAAAAAATATTTCCTGCAACAAAATATCTGAGAAAATTTAAATCGTATCCATCCTGCGTTCTTTCTATTGGTAATTCGTAATGGCAATGGGCCATTAGTATTAAAATCCAGGTTATGGTATTGGATGACAAGGTTCAGAGGTTTGAGATAATTTGGGATTTTCTTTGATATTTACCTTGGGTTGCAATCGGAACAGGAAAGAGGAAAGTTTACTTGTAAATTACCATAAGACATCACATTTTTATTCAGAAAATCGTCCAGATTCAATATACTTAGTTATGGATGGTGGTGGCGATAGACTAGATAGGTAAGTACCTACCAATTTTGTCTTCATAATTTTACCAATAGAAAATTATAGGCCCTGGCATGCAAGTAACGTAGCTATAATCCGAGAAGTATATGATGGCCCCGATTCACAAGAATTCTTTGCTATGGAGCTGGAGAAATATTTACATAATTGTTGCTCTATAATCGTTATTGAACCATCACAACTCGGAGATGAAACGGCCCGATGGATTTCAGCTGGAAATATTTTACACAAAATCGCAGTGATTAGTGGTTTTTCAAGTTTAGTCACCGGTTTTGTTTGGCCTGAAAATGTTGTACCTCAAGCACCATTAGGTATTTTTTCAGTATTATGTACAGGGCTCTACACTGCTTCATGGCAATTCGATCATTGCGTTAAATATCAGGTTGAAAGAGATCCCAGAAAACTGGCAAGGCTTCCAATTCTTAGTGCTCTAACAGCAGCTTCTCCAGTAGTTTTAGTCCGTAAAGAAGATACCAAAAGGAAAATTTTACATTGTAGTGTCTCCCTTGCAGCTGCTGCAATGTGTATTTATAGACTTTACATTTCGGCCAAGTAAGGAGGTAAGAGTGGTTGTTTTTGAAAGGTTTGTTATAGTAGTAGAATAAAAAAATGTCAAAAATCAGCTAGAAGTATTTTAGGGTAATTTTATGATTGCAAGCTCAAAAAGTAAATTTCCCTTTATAGTTGGTTATCTTTAAACTTCATTTGCTGCATTTTTTTGGCATTTATATTTTGTTGTGGATACTGATTTGATTCTTTTTTTGAGAATTGCTTTGTTACAAAAAGAATATTGTACAATGTCCACTGTTTATTGTGATCATGTTGAAAGTATTTGTTAATGAAACAATTTTACAAAATTTTCTTTGTTTTATTTTTTATATCAAGGAATAAATGAATAATGGGAAAAACAATCAAAAGAAGGAAAACTGACTGGAAAACTGATTACTGATTAGTACAGGAGTTTCTTTTAATCATAGACTAAAAGTTGTGAATAAAAGCATCCTTATTTTGTGTTACTACACTTTTACTAAAAGGGAAATTTCTAAGAAAATGTTGTAGATAGGTTCATCAACTCCAAGAAAAAAATATTTTTCCAGGATACTAGTCTATGGGACCCTTTCTTGATAAAGTATTTATATTATTATCAAGATTTTAACGATTTTCTCTCTTCGGGGATTTCAACCACTGAAAATTATGAGTGCTGAGCTCAAAAAATGAAAATTTAGCGATCGGACGTCTGCTAGGCATATGGAAAATCTACTTTCCTTTTGCAGCGGCCGGAAAATATACCTACCTTTTTTCTGGTTTCTAACGATATCAAATTTGATTCTGTCTATTGCCATAAGCGAGAAAACGATCAGCAACTGAATATTCTTCCACAAGATCGCGCCCTTATTTCAACCTTTTCAGTAAGTGCAAACCTTATGGGTTTGGTTTTTCATGATTAGATTGTTCTATAATGTCAATGATATGTTCTGTGGTCAATGTCAATGTATTGAAATGCCATGAAAGAGAAATTAAGCATTCCAACGACCTGTCAAAAAGTACTTTGTGGGCGGAAGTTCATTATCCCGTATGTGAGAGTATGGAATTTAAAGCTTTTTAAAGTGCATTTTGTGGTTGTTTTGTGAATGAACTCTGTTTATTTTTCTATTTTATTGACTTCATAAGTGTTTTTTCTATTTAAAAATGCCACAAACGTGTCTTGTAGTTGATTGTGGAAGTAGTCTATGGAAGTAGTTTCAACAATAGTACAGTAAATAGGGATATTTTACTAAAAAAAAACTTAATGGATGAAATTTTGAGGGTATGTTCGGGGGCATGTCCTGAGTCTAAAACTAAGTTTTCGTATTCGAGGGGGTGGGGGAAGATACTACCCCCTCTTTATGTAGGGTTGAGTTCGTTTTAATTCCTTATCTTCGGTGCTATTGCCCGTACCGTCAAGTCCGAGAGATCAAATTTGTGGGAAATAAAATTATCTATTCAATGATAACAAGGTCATAGGACGATTAGGCAATTCAAACCACGTGACTTTCAAGATGGCGTAGCTGCCACAAATGGGCCAAAAAGCACAAAAAAATATCTAAATTCTGCCCGATTTATTAGTTTAGGTACCTAGTCAACATATATTTTATTAAATAATCCAAATCAAAGTTGCAAGCAAAACTCTAAGCAAAATAATTTGAAATACGCATAAAAACACATTCAAAACAAACTTGCTCCGATGGTATTTTAAAAAATTTCACGATGTCGCGTTCTCTTCTACTACTACAATCCACTACACGCAACAAAATCCAGGAATTTCACCGACATTTTTTAGCACTTAACATTTGCCTGCCCTGACCAATGAACTATAACCAAAAACTGGAATGCTAACACATAAGGACGAACTTGAAGCCTAGTGCGGCTGCTGTGGAGGGGATACCTGTTTTTGTCGCACTCATTATGTTAAATCGCGAAAATTGCTTCCAACACGTATTCCAATTGATGAAACCTGTGAAGGGAAATATGACAAAACTTTCGAAAACGTCATATGTCAGCGAGCAACAGAAAAAAACAACATTCCCCCTTGTGGCATCTGTCTTTCATGGCTTCATTTTTTTGGCAGATATGGCAATGTGTGCGCATTCCAGTTTTTAGCTATAGTTCATTGGCCCTGACTAACTTTTGACAAACGCCATTTTTGACAAATCGTTGAAATGCCCTATTAATCATGGGGCGGATTACGAACTCTCGATTCGAACCGAAACCGCCAAGGATTTCGAACGCACTCTATGCAAATGCATCAGAATGCGTTCGAAATCCATGGCGGTTTCGGTTCGAATCGAGAGTTTGTAATCCGGCCCCATGTTTCAAAGTTGACAATGTCGAAATCTATCTTGGGAAAAAATAGACCATAGTTATAATTTGACACCCCACCTGTAGCCTTTACCTTTACAGGTATACTTTGGCTACTGAGAGAACAGCGTTTCAGTCTGAGGTGAAAGGGGAGGAAAAAACGATATGGAAATACACAGTTGCGATGGAATAGACCGTGATAGAAATATTAGTTCGCATATTTGCCGCCGTCACTGACCATTACTTTTGATTTTCAAATAGGACATCCGTTTTCTGGCATGAGCAAATCATTTTAAGTATGATAGGACCATTTTTGGAAAATTTTTAACAAAAAAAAAAAAATTTAATTAATTTTTAGAAAAAAAAATTCGGCGCTGCCACTGGTGTAAATTGATTTAGTTGAATATTCTTACTATCAGGAAAATCTGTAACTTCAATTTTTTATTAACTGAACAAAGTATTCCATATTTTTCACATGTAACCACGCCGGGACTTATAAATTTTTTGAAACAAGATTTTTTTCCCTATTTTTTTATTGATTTTTGATCAACATTTTCAAAATCCGCTGAGAAATAACCCAACAACTTTTGAAAAATCTTTATTTTTAAATGCATTTTTTTTTCTGGTTTTGTTATAAATCTCTCCAAAATGGTCCTATCATACGTAAAGTAATCTGCTGATGCCAGAAAACTCAAAAAATACCGGGTGTCCCATTTGAAAATTAAAAGTTAACCGGTTTACCCGGCAGTGACTGGTAACGCAATTTACTTCTAAAAAACTCAAAAAGTTGTCTCGTTTAACCTCCCCAAATTTCAAATTTTCAACTTAGGTATATAGGTATCAAAAAAGTTATAGGTTGGTCCCTATTCCTTGTGTCACTTGTATAATATACCGGGTGTCTACGAGATTAGTTTCGCGCTTGCTGGGTTTTTTTTCAATGGCAAAGATTTTTGGGTATAAAATATAGGTTTGAGAAATGTCATCTTTTGACATATGTGTCAATGTTTGGTAACTTCCGGTTTGACTGGAAATGGCCCTAACTTCGTAATTTCAAATGGCATCCCAAGAATTTTTTTCGCATTTTTGGGATCTGCGGATCATGATCTGTATGAAAACGTCAAATTTGAACATTTTTGAAGAAACTTTAGAATTCTGGATCAAAATTTATTTTTGAATAGAAAATGACAGAATGGCCTTTAAACTGTTTTTTTCAACTCATACGATCGTAGAAAAATGCGAATGCCAAGTTGTTATCATTTGCTTGTTCTCCAAAAGCTTCCAAAGTTGAAAAAATCACATTTTACGTGATAACTCAATGAAATCAGTGAAATCACCCAACTTTCACAACAAGAGATTTTTACCTTTTTTGAAATAAAATCAACTATGCATTAGAACTTTTCATTTATGCCAGTTTTCAATTATTTTCTCATTATTTTTATTATGCACTACTATAAATGATGAACTACTTATTAATGAACCCCTATATGAAAAAACGCTGTCTAAAAGGGGCTGGTGGTTTTTTTTACTTGTCAAGCCATTGACAAGATCTATGGACAAGATATGTTTGTTTGCATAGACATTTGTCATTGTTTGGCATCTCGGGAATTTGTAAATACAAAGTTTGAATACAGGGGCTTATTTATAAGTAGTTTTATCTTATCCATTTAGTTGTGCATAATAAAAATAATGCTGTGTCTAGAATCCCGGTACCGGTAACACATTTTTTACCGGTAGTTTTGACGCCGTCACCCATATGACGTACTAGGTACCCGGGATTTAAGCAAGTCCCGGTAAAAAAAGGTTAGTCATTGCTCGAGTCGTTGGCGGTTTCTGTTTTATCAAAGTCCAACTTAACCTAACTTTTTATGTTTTTAACTTGTTTTGTTGATGTGTGAACATAAAGTGGAGTGTTTTCGTGAGTTTATCAACGTGAAATAACTTATTTTGACATGGTTTTTAATGTAGGACAAACATTTAAAAATTATAAAGAAGTTGAAGAGACTTTGACATGTGAAATGTGCCAGTTTGTGTAATAGTATTTTACATTATTAGCCAGGTAAAACAGTTTTTACTGGCGATTGAAGGAAATGACTAGCGAGCCGTTAGGCGAGCTTGTCACCTTCAAGAGCCAGTAAAAACTGCTACCTGGCGTATAATGTACAATAATTTATTTGTTACTCATTTGTAAAACATTAGGGACAAATAAAAAATCAATACATAACAACATTTTGAAATTTTTATGTTTATTTTTTCTTTTTTTTTATACAAGCTTTGGTAATTGGTGTAACTATGAGAATCAGATGCTGTTAAATCGTTGTTTCTAGTTATATCAAATAGGTTTTGTGACAGGTTTCTATTTTGCAATTTTTTCCCAGAAATGAATGTGCTAGAAGATATTATTAATGAAGCAGGAGTCATAGCTAACAGTTTGTCACCAGAAAAGTCTTCCAGAAGGTACCTACAAGCAATTATTCTTGGGATAAAACTGATTCTTTAAAAATAAATAATCCTACTGACTTGTAAAAAGTTTTTACAGTTTAGCTGTCAATTTTACAAGTCAGTAGAGCCAGTAGCTGGTAAAAATCAATTTTCGTTGTTTATGTTTTGACTTGATAAGTGACGTTTTACAAATGAGTGACAAATAAAATACTTAAAATTTGGTATTGTTGTGATTGCAAACTTATAAATAAAAAATGAGAGATATTTATTTTAATTTACATCCTAAACAGTATAGTTACATATTGGCTTGAAGCATCGAGGCTTGAAGTAAATTAATAAATATTGAATTCGAATATAAACTGCTATATAAAGTGACATCATTTTAAATTTGTTTAAATTCTCAGGGGTTTTTGGAAACAACAACCCTAGTTTACTATCATCTTATTGCAGATTAGTTCTAATCTGGGATGAGTTGTTCGATATTTCCGAACGCAAATCATTTATATAAGGTATTTCGAACTTAAACGTAACTGCACAGAACACATATCCTCACGGATAGAAAAAAAAGCTTAATGGAG